TATGGTGACAAAAACATTTTTGTTTATTTTAAATGTCTATTTTTTGTTTTGGAAATTATTTTTGTGTTGGTAAGACGAAAAAACTCTTGACTTTTTGAAAAGCTTTTATCTTGCAAAAGATAATTTTAGAGGCGTTTTGACTTTTTAACTTTTGAAATGCTTTTTTAATTTAGTTTAAGAAATTTTTCTTAAAAGCACAAAAGTGATTTGGAATCGTTTTATCAAAGTGATGTAAGACACACATCTAAGACATTGTAAGATCATTCAAGTGGATTGGTTTTCACGAGTACATACTTTAAAGAAATGTATTTTCTCGTATTCACTTACATTTATCATCATTCGATATGCGTTTGAGACAAACGAAGTGATCATAATAGAGCAACAAGAATGATATTCAATTTTAATTCTTAGAGCATGTTAGACTAAGTGTACATACAGATCATATGAGTTTTAGTCTTAGTTTTTTTAGAGATTTTAGAGCTAAATCATAACACACATAAGTGTTTTATATATGGCATAACATTCTTTTTTTTATATCTTTCTTATGATACATATTAGATCATATGAGAAATATAACATGTCTATATAACTTAGGTGCTAAATCATAGCACACATAAGTGTTTTATATATGGCATAACATTCTTTTTTTTATATCTTTCTTATCATACATATTAGATCATATGAGAAATATAACATGTCTATATAACTTAGGTGCTAAATGCAATGTATAGGGGACTCCCCCCAAAAACATGCATGATATAATTTGTATAAAATTTGGCACCGAAGCAAAATATGCATAATATATTCAATATAAAACTTGTTTAGAGTAAAGAACTGTAAAATTATTACTAAGATCAAACCGAAAATAGTAAAATTGTTTAGAATTTTTAAAATATTGATTAAGGTTAAAACATCTAGAAATTAAAAAAAAATTATCAGAGCAAACAAACAAAAACTTTGATCACATTCCCTTTTTTGGCACTAGTAAAAGCTAGGCAAAGTCATCCTCCCCATCAAAACTCATGTCAATGTTGACGCAAGACAATAGCTTGTTGGATTTTCTTTCATATCGTGCTAGCCTTCTTAGAGTCTAGTGTAAAACTTGGTAGAGGCCAACAATTACCTTGTTGCGGTCCTCTTCACTGGTTAGTGGAGGGAGAAGTGGAGTTGTTGCTGGGGAAGAAACAGGTGAAGTAGTAGGACCTGGTTGATTTGATGTTGACAACCTGAACATTTCTTGTACAAAAATATTGTTTTCCCAGGAAAAAAGATATGAAAAGTAATATCATATAAAGAATAATAACAATACAGCCTGCGTGTGACAGAGAGATTGTTGAAACTTGTTGGCTCAGTCTTGGAAGGGAGAGGATAGATAACAAAATATCTTCCATTGGTTGGTGGAAAGCGATCAGGCTTGATACCTATAAGATAAATGTCTTGTGAGGTATGATGACGTGCATGGCGCTCATGGTGTTTGTCAAACTCATACTAAGGCAACTTCTCCTTGCCCTTGTAGACAAAGTGAATTGCAGCCTTGGGGACAATGTCTTGGGTGTAGAATTTCATCTAGAGCTAAATTATCCATGGTCAATATAGCTCTCCAAGAACAAAGGAAAGGTTATGAGAAGTGTCTTTTGTGTTTAGCTCAATAGTAGCTCTTAAAGTTAGTAAATTATACATTTCATTATACTATTACTTGACAATGTCCATAGTCTAACCATCTAGCCAAGAAGAACGATTTAAATTGATCTCACTTCAAATAGATTATATCTTAATAGTAGAGTGAATAACAATGGCATGTTCACTACTAAGATGCATGGCCTCAAAGATAGGAGGTGTCAAGTCATCATCGATTGTCATAAAAAGATAGGTTAAAACATAAAAAGGTCTTTCTAATTAACAGTCTGAAGCTATTAAACATAATCAACCCTCCAACTATATATATATATATATGAAAATAATAGTTTTGGTTCTTGTGCAAACTAAATGAAATAAGAAAAACTATACTAATTTATTTTTATTAGTTTATATTTACAATTGTTTTAGTACAAACTTTCTTCAAGTAAGTTTAGGATGCTTGAAAACACCAATGATAAGGATCTAATATCCTTATCTACTCTAATAACACTAAACGCAATAATATAAGCAAAAGCTATGATAAAAATAAACTTCATTGCTTAATTCAGACTAAAAGATCAACCCATTAAATATAAAAGAGAAGTAAAAGCATAGTAACTATATCTAAAAACAATGGCTATAAAAAGATAGGATAAAACATAAAAAAGGCCTTATAAAAATTCGAAGCTATTAAACATAATCAACCCCCAACTATATATATATATATATATGAAAATATTAGTTTTGGCTCTTAGCTAAACTAATTGAAATAAGAAAAAATATACTAAAATATTCTTAATAATTTATATTTATAACTATTTTAATATAAACATTCTTTAAATAGGTTTAGGAAACATGAAAACACGAATGATAAGAATTTAAT